TGCAGTAGGTGATGAGCGTTAACTTAAACCAACACTAATTGTTCTCGATGTTTCATTTAAAGTGCATACCCCCTTGTAAGACAAACCAATAATAGCGATTTGAAACTATGATCGTTTGTTAAACAACTTTTATCCTAAGTTGAATAAAATTCTGAGATTTGAATGTTCAATTGGCAAGGTAAAATTCATCGGTACGTTTTCACTGCAAACAGACTATAATCCTGTAGAAGAAGGTGCCATTGAGGGTATCCTCTTCTGACTCATTGGAGTTCTTATACATCATACCCGTGAAGATCCGGGTTAGAATATTGATCTTCAGTAACCATGCTTGTCGTAAGAGGCGACTAATGGGATCGGGTGGTCAGGCTCGTTGACTGGGTTGATTATATCCCAAGAGTGTAGATCGATGTATAAATCACTGGATTGCCTGGTCCATAGTCGATCATAAACCAGGAATGTCGACGGCGTTAAACAAAACAAAAAGGACAAACAACCAATTAAATCACGACGTGCATTTCATGTGGGTCAGAGTGACGCTAGTTTTCCTCCACTTCGTGTTGAAAACACATGCATGTTGGATAGGATCCCAATTGTGTAGATCGATGCTCATGCTGTTGATCACTGGATTGTCTGATCCAGACTCGAGTATTTACAGACCGCCGTCATATAGCTGGAATATTGCTGGGTGCGGCGTAAAACTAAACTCACTCACTCTTATACATCTTGTGTTAATTTATCGGCATTTTTACTACAGTACATTTATAGAGCCACTAGTATCCACCTCAAACATGATCAGTGGCGCTAAGGACAAACTATGCGTAAAGTGCAGACATTACTGCCCCGATCAAAGCTGCCTGTGAGGCACTAGGCGTTTAACAGTCTTCTTATCCCACTGGGTACCCATTCACTGCTGGGCGAGTAAATTTTGAACAAACTCCCCTATTTCCCTAGGGTGAGAGCACATGTGCCACGTGTGCTTCGTTGCTGGGTAGGACTGTAGTCCTAGAAACACTCAGGAGTCTGTGACACACGGTCACCCATCCAAGCACTCTCCGCGCCCAACGTTGCGCGTTCAACTGATTTGTGACCTGCGCTTAATGCACAGGACCACACAACACCACAGATGCTTCCATGCAGTCCAACAGTAGCGGGTACATGAGTGAGTGAGTTTGGTTTACGCCGTACTCAGCAAAGTTCCAGGAATATGACGGCAGTTTGTAAATAATCGAGTCTTGACCAGACACTCAAGTGATCAACAGCATGAGCATTGATCTCTGCAACTGGGATACGATGACATGTGTCAACCAAGTCAGCGAACCTGACCACTCGATCCCGTTAGTCGCCTCTTGAAGATCAATTCTAACCCGGATCTTCACTGTGTTACACTGCATTGCAGAAATGAGTGATGGATATACATAATCCTGTTTTACAACGGTTCTTACAAATACCCAAATACACGAAAGACAATTTCGACCCTCAGTTTAAACATGACGTTTTTAAATATGCAATTGGGAAAATTCCGTTTATTTTACGTGTGCTTCGTTTACTGACAATTTGCGCTCTCGGTGGTGCAGGGCGCAAATCTTTCTCAGAGAAGACATCCTTACCTCGCTGTCGGGTCAATCGCTTAGACCTGGACCACATTTGCCACGGGCGTCGTACGATAAAGTAGTCAACGATTTTTCGTACGACATTTTAGGCATCGTGGGTGACCGGAGCTACGACGTTTGTGTTCACATTGTCTACGGGCATCGTGCGATTTCCTTGGGGACAGGCAGAGGCAAACCTGCACGGGGGCTGCACAGAAATCGTACGGAGAGGGTACGGAGATCGTGCGTTTTCCGTACGGTCTCCGCAGCTACCTCACGGACATCGTGCGGAGCCCGTGCGGCGTCCGTGCGGAGGCTGAGCGGAGATCGGTGTACCATGTACATCTTGTTGTCTTGGACCTCTCTCATGAACTGAGACAAATGACAGAACTTGTAGGGATTGCTTATGTATATACTCATGGTAAAATGATTGGGACATCGCAAGGTTGCCACACGGCCATCATGCGGCTCCCGTGGGATGACTGCACAATGTGCGTGCGATTTCACGGGCACCGTACGGAGGCCGCACGCACGGTGATCGTGCGGTAGCCATGCGATGGCCGTGCGGATATCCCACGATCCTACGATCGCCGTACGATGTCTTGGATCACCGTGTGGTGCCCGTGCAGTGCTCGTGCGATGCCACCTACGGGCTACGGGCTTACGATTATTTTCAATTTGTCAAACTTCGCTGTTTGACAAAATCGTAGAGGCTATGGCCCCCGTAGAATCGTGCGATAATCGTACGGACACCGCCTTCGGAAACGGAAGTAAGCCGCATACGGAAATGGAGCTACAGAAGGTCCATGGTTCGAATCCCATGACGGTGAACTGTTGTGGTCGCCAATTAATGGCAATATTCTTGTCGACCATTCTATCGATTTCCGTACGACTAACACGCCTTACAGTCCACGTGCTGTTTCTATGGCCTTATACATACCTCTTAAGAACAAAGAAACGCATGAGTGATTTTGAGAATATTGACCTAAGGTTTTCCGCCAGCTTCAGTGCCCACCACCCTTTGGAATGAAACATAACATGCTGCCGAAAACAGAAAGGCATGCGGTACACTATTTACATATCATTGTTGCATCCCCGCTTACTGCCAACAGGGTGTCATGGATAAAATATAAACCTCACTGAAGCTAAATCACACTTTCAACCACTTGTTTGTAGAAGTTCAGTCAATTCTAGCAACCACTGGTTTGTAATAGCTCAATCTGTGTATCAACCAACTAATTTGTCGAAGTTCTATTTGGAGTGGCTTAGTCATACTATCAACCGCTGGTTTGTAATTCTATCGATCACAGTGTGAACTACTTGTTGTGTTTCCGCTCATTCCGGGGTCTGCACAGAGACAATGAACGGTGTTTTTTAGCACATTTTACTAACGCTTCTTTCAACAAAAATGAAGCGTTCTTATAATATTAACAATTTCATCACAAACATAGGATGCTGTGGTAGGTAAGCTTAATAGCTTAAGACATATTTACATGTTGGGGGAAGTCGCAATGCCTCTCTGCAATTATGGTACTAACTACTATTGTATATTCTGAGGGAAGAGGCAGAAAGGGTTCTATTCCAGTATAGACTATCATGGATAGAAAAGCTGGATAAACATCAATGCGAAGATATGCACACTAATCACTGTTAATTCACATGTAAAGAGGTTTTAGTGGACAATTCTTATTGAATACAACTAGCATTTGTACCAGAAGTCATTGGACTATGTATACATTCATGATGACATAAGAAACGCAGCCTACTATCTAAATAGCCCATTTTGTGGTATTTCATCAATTCTGTGTTTGAATCCCAAACAGTCTCACTGCTCACTGTGCCTTGACGTTTGCTGTAATGTATGAATGCATCTGATATTTTTTCCCAACTAGTTGAACTGTACCAGCATATATACGTGGGATTTTGGTGCTCTATGACAACTGGTCCGCACTCTCCAAACCATCTGTAAAGAGACATTTTCGGCCTTTTTGTCCATATTTCGTACGCCCTGGTTTGAACTCCAAACAGGCCCCCTTTATGTCAAGGTCAGCCTAAAATTCAAAATACAAACTTTATCACTGGATACAGTATGGTATTAGCATTGTGACGTCATAGCTGTAAACCATTATGACGCCATACCTCTAGCGGTATTACACTAGTGTAATATTGCCGTAAAAGTATTACACTGATGTGTCCTACACGGGCGAGTAATAAAATGATAACGCTATTTTTTAGGACATTATCATTTGCAAAAGCCTGAAGTCTTTCATTAACAGTTGAAAAGACAGAGGGCTTCTGCAAGTGATAATGCCCTGACAAATAGCGTTACCGTTATTATAGCTAAACTGGATATAATTTATAATAAAATTAAAACAAACAACGGTATCAGTTTTGAAGCATTTACTGCTAACAACAAACAACGGAGGTAATTGACACACTTTTTACAAACATGGACACGTCATAGAACAAAACAGATTAGGTCACTACTGAGAGTGACGACATTCGACCTTAACATTTGCCCATACTACAAGTGGCCATTTGTTTCAATGCTCAACAACGCTAGAGTTCCAGTCGATGTTTTCATTGCTGCATGTTGTAATATATGGTACAACTGATAAGGTTGGCACCGGCACGAAAGTGCATAATGGCACAGGTACATGTGACGAAAGTAAATGTGGGGCCACAAATAGCCCTCCTCTGCCGGGGATGTGAGTAAGAAATATCGTCAATATTGAACCCAAGTTCAATCGAGCCGTAAGTGATTTGAACATCAAGTGCTGACGTCACCTAACAACGGGCATGTTAATGGCCCGTCGTCAAGCGATTTGGGGGCATTATCAAGTTACAAGTTGCTCATTTCTGATGACATGCGGGCGTTTTAATGAAAATTCTATCCATTTTTCTTTTAACAAAATTTAAGAAATGTCAACAAGACTTAGGTTTTGTATTTCTTTGAGTATTTAACCAAGCCTTTTCTGACAACGCATATTCATACTTGGGTAGAAGAGTGAACACTCTGGACACACTGAGTAGAAACTTCAAAATAAACTGTGATACCAAACCAAAGACATTGAAATAAAATTGGTCAGCTCAAATGTCACTGAACCTAACGATGTCTCTTATCTTCCGGGGCGGTGGGGTAGCATAATGGTTAAAGCGTTCGCTCGTCACGCCGAAGACCCAGGTTCGATTCCTCACATGGGTACAATGTGTGAAGCCCATTTCTGGTGTCCCCCGCCGTGAAATTGCTGGAATATTGCTAAAAGCGGCGTAAAATTAAACTCACGCACTCCCTTATCTTCCAGCAGGGGAAACGGAAGGTTCTCTTGTTCGGCAAGGAGATCAAGGCCCATGTCCACCTGGAGTCGAACTGGTCAATTGTCTCGTTGACCCATGCTCGCAGGCCACTTTTTTTTTAGCTGTGCACACGGGGCGCCATGAGCATACACTAGTGTGTGGAGACGGCGCCATACAAGTGGACATTATTATTACTTGTCCTTCCCACCCAGAAGCTGTCTGCAGGTACGCCCCGTAATGTCTTTACATATCAAACTACCTTTGACAGATTCACAATATACTGCTGTATATCTTGATTATGGAGTCATTTGTAGAACACTGTACCCACCTGTACAACATACTTGTATGGGAAGGGCTGTGGGGGTAGTCTGGTTGAAGCGTTTGCTCGTCACGCCCCAAAACCAGGTTTGATTTGCCTCATGGTTGAAGCCCATTTCTGGTGTTCCCCGTCCTGATATTGCTGGAATATTGCTTAAGGCGTTAAACCATACTCACTCACTCTTTGTATGTGATGAGTGAAATGAGGATCAGATTATTACAAAACGTTCCATTGATGATTTGGTGTCACCTCTCCCTAAACGCTCGAATAGGTGTCCATGCCCTCACATGCTGGTCTACTTTAAGTCTGGAGCAACACTTGATTATGTCAGTTAGAATGTCGCATAGCTGTAGAGCAAGTCGTCAGTTAACTGGCTTAAAGATACACTCTTTCAGGAATAGGTGTACATGCTATCACATGCTCTTCTGTAAGTCTTCGATCAATGGGGCGATCAGTTAGAATGTTGCATAGCTGTAGAGCAGGTCGTCAGTTAACTGGCTTAAAGATACACTCTTTCAGGAATAGGTGTACGTGCTATCACATGCTCTTCTGTAAGTCTGGATCAATACTTGATTGTTTCAGTTAGAATGTTGCATAGCTGTAGAGCAGGTCGTCAGTTAACTGGCTTAAAGATACACTCTTTCAGGAATAGGTGTACGTGCTATCACATGCTCTTCTGTAAGTCTGGATCAATACTTGATTATTTCAGAGCTGTAGAGCTTAGAATGTTGCATAGCTGTAGAGCTGGTCGTCAGTTAACCGTCTTAAAGCAACAATAATTCAGGAATACTCTTTCAGCATATGTTTTGTGTCCTGTTAACTTAGATCTCAACTCATGTTTCAGATCCAACTACTGCGGAGGCTGCAATGCCGAATTCTTCATAAAAGTGGAATGTTCAGATGCAACATCTTAACTTCAGCATGGGAGAATAAAACTGTTACATGAACTCTATGTAGTGGCTTCTTACTCTTAGTTTTCACTTGAACGAGTACCAATCACGGTCGATAATTAATTCCATTTTATCTTGAACTTTTTATTCGCCATATTTAAAATAAATCTGTGGAAAGAGTTGACTTCCCATTTCTAAGATATCAAGAGCAAGTGTTTGTGAATCAGTATCAACTAGTCATAACATGTGTTCGTGAAACATAGAGCGTACCCTGCCACTAGTGACATACACCACACACAAAAGGCAAGCCACGTCTTCAGCTGAAAAGACTCATAAAGATCCGGGTTAGAATTGGTCTTCAACAACCCATGCTTGTCGCAAGAAGCGACTAACGGGATCGGGTGGTCAGACTCGCTGTCTTGGTTGACATACGCCATAGTATCCCAATTGCGTAGATCGATGATCATGATGTTGACCATTGGATTCAGCTGAACAGTGAGTGAGTGAGTGAGTTAAGATTAAACGTCACATCGGTAATATTTCAGCTATATCGTGACTCAGCTGAACAGAAAACCACATAATATATGGTTCAAAGTCCAACTAGGTAATTGCACTGGACATTGTTTTTGTCACAGGTGCATCAAATTGGGAAATGCCGTCTACATGTTTACCTTTTGACATCACTCATGTCCTGAGTTGAGTTTCAAACTGTTTTATTTTAGACGTGGAGAAGATTCAAACCAGTGACAAAAGTGATGTCTTAATTTGACTTGTACCGTGTGTTTACAAATGTACAGACATTGTAGTTGTTTGTGATGGGTGATCGAACATCTGACATCATCACTAATCGATTCGTAAACACATGTTCATGATCGGATGAGCTTTTTCAAGATCTTTATCATTTAAGTGGAAATGATTTCTTGTTTATATTTATGAATGATATAGGTATAGGGATTACGTGTGTGAGTGAGTGAGTTCAGTTTTACGCCGCACTCAGCAATATTCCAGCTATATGACGGCGGTATGTAAACAATCGAGCCTGGACCAGAAAATCCACTCTTTAACTTCATGAGCATCGATCTGCGCAATTGGGAACCGATGACATGTGTCAACCAAGTCAGCGAGCCTGACCACCCGATTCCGTATAGATATTCAGTGATTTGTGATAAAAAGCAAGTCCAGGATCTAACCATGGAGTTTTCGTACGGACTGACTTGAAGCCCCCAGAAGCTGACGCCTAATAAGCCAGTAAACTAAGCTTCGCCAACTATCGTGCATGGCAAATGCCTTTTCTTGTTTCCTTGTCTCTTGTGGCCCCGTTGTCTCAGCCACAGACCCGTGAAGATCCAGGTTTGAACTGGTCTTCAGTAACCCAGGCTTGTCGTATCTCATGAAGATCCGGGTTAGAACTGGTCTTCAGTAAACCATGCATGTGGTAATCCGTGAAGATCCGGGTTAGAATTGGTCTTCAGTAACCCAGGCTTGTCGTACCTCATGGATATCTGCTTTAGAATTGGTCTTCAGTAACCCATGCATGTGGTAATCCGTGAAGATCCGGGTTAGAATTGGTCTTCAGTAACTCAATGCTTGTCGTACCTCATGAAGATCCAGGTTAGAAATGATCTTCAGTAACCCATGCTTGTCGTAAGAGGCGACTAACGGGATCGGTTGGTCAGGCTCGCTGACTTGGTTGACACAGGTCATCGTATCCCATTTGTGTAGATCGAAGCTTGTGCTGTTGATCACTGGATTGTCTGGCCAAGGCTCGATTATTTACATACCACCGCCATATAGTGGAATACTGCCGAGTGCGGCGTTCAACAATAACCAACCAACCCTAATTATAATCCACGCCAGCAACCTTTGGCTGTGGGTTCGAAACCCAATTATGCTCTACAGGTGCCAGCAGGTCGATTTCACTAAACTGGTAAATGTTTTAAGCTTGCATCTGACACGCCGTTCAAAGCAGCATTAACCAAAGTCACTCATTCACTCTACAGTAAAGGAGTGATGTGTTGTTATCCTGTTTTAATGTGAGCTAGTCTTCATGGGGCATGAATAATTCCCAAATATAAACATCTGGAACTTTGAGAATGAAAAGGTTTATTTGTGAACCTCTGGCTAAAGCGGAGTGATATTTGTATCCGTTAAAAAGACAGTAGAACCCGTGAAGGTCCGGGTGAGAATTGGTCTTCAGCAACCCACGCTTGTCGCAAGAGTAACGGCACTGGGTGGTCAGGGTCGCTGACTTGGTTGACACATGTCATCGGTTTCCAAATTGTGTAGATCGATGCTCATTATGTTGATCACTGGATTGTCTGGTGAAGACCCGGTTATTTACAGACTGCCGCTATATAGCTGGAACATTGCTGGGTGCGACGTTAAATAACAAATAAACAGACAGACAGACAGACAGACAGACAAAGACAGAGACAAAACGTCAGTGAGGCGAATACAGGCCAAATAAATGTGATCTGGGTCATAGCAATTTGTTCATCAGGGTTGTGTTATTGTTTGGCGCATCTCTCCGCAATATTCCATCTACATGTAAATTAACGAAACCGGATCGCAACTGGGAACTATCATATCCTTCAACCAATGTCAGCAAGCTTGACAAACCATTCCCCTTAGTCGGCTCTTACGAAGCCATGGGCAATTAGTAGGATGTGACATTGAATCCAGGAATAAAGATTAGCTCCCTTCAACTCAATTACATGGACAAATACCCAAACAAAACATCCTGCCTTGGATCAGCCATTAGATCAGTCCTGGTATCACTACCTGGATCAGTTCTTGATCACTCCTTTGAACGGCCAACGGTTCATCCCTTGATCATACTTTGGATCAGTCCTGGGAGAAATCATTAGATCAGTCCTTGAATAACTTCTTTGAACGGTCAACGGTTCGTGCCTTGATTCATACTTTGGATCAGTGCTGGGGTCGATCCTTGGATCAGTCCTTGAATCACTCCTTTAAACGGTCAACTGGAAGAATGAGCCTTGCTTAAGAAACACAATTGAGAAACATATATTCAATCACTGACCTATCCAAGGGCTGATCCATAGACTGATCCAAGAGCTGAGCTAAGTATGAACCAAAGTTTGATCCAAAAGCTGATCCTAGGATTAATTTAAAGACTGATCCAAAAGCTGATGAAAGGACTGGTCCAAGGTATGAACTAAAAATGATCGAAAAACTGATCAAAGGTATCAACCAAAGATTGTTCCAAGGACTTATCCGAGGATTGAACCCAAGGTATGAACCAAGGACTGATCCAAGGTCTGATACATGGCATGAACCAAGGACTGATCCAAGGTATGAACCAAGGACTGATCCAAGGTATCATCCAAGGACTGATCCAAGGTATGATCCATGGTATGAACCATAGACTGATCCAAGGTATGAACCGACTGATCCAAGGTATGATCCAAGGACTGATCCAAGGTATGATCCAAGGACTGATCCAAGGTATGATCCATGGTATGAACCATAGACTGATCAAAGGTATGAACCAAGGACTGATCCAAGGTATGAATCCAAGGACTGATCCAAGGTATGATCCAAGGACTGAACCAAGGTATGATCAAAGGTATGAACCAAGGACTGATCAAAGGTATGAACCAAGGACTGATCCAAGGTATCATCCAAGGACTGATCCAAGGTATGATCCAAGGTATGATCCATGGTATGAACCATAGACTGATCAAAGGTATGAACCAAGGGCTGATCCAAGGTATGATCCAAGGACTGATCCAAGGTATGATCCAAGGTATGATCCATGGTATGAACAAGGACTGATCGATGGTATGATCCAAGATATGAACCATAGACTGATCAAAGGTATGAACCAAGGACTCATCCAAGGTATGATCCAAGGTATGAACCAAGGACTGATCGAAGGCATGATCCAACGACTGATCCAAGGGCTGATCCAAGGTAAGATCCAAGATATTAACCAAGGACTGATCCAAGGTATGATCCATGGTATGAACCAAGGACTGATCAAAGGTATGATCCAAGGACTGATCCAAGGTGTGATCCAAGGTATGAATCATATACTGATCCAAGGTATGATCCAAGGTATGATCCATGGTATGAACAAGGGCTGATCCATGGTATGAACAAGGTATGATCCAAGGTATGATCCATGGTATGATCCAAGGTCCATGATCCCAAGTATGAACCAAGGACTGATCGAAGGCATGATCCAACGACTGATCCAAGGACTGATCCAAGGCATGATCCAAGGATCCAAAGGTAAGATCAAAGATATTAACCAAGGACTGATCCAAGGTATGATCCATGGTATGAACCAAGGACTGATCAAAGGTATGATCCAAGGACTGATCCAAGGTGTGATCCAAGGTATGATCCAAGGTATGAACCAAGGACTGATCCAAGTACTGATCCAAGGTATGAACCATAGACTGATCCAAGGTATGAACCAAGAACTGATCCAAGGGCTGATCAAGACCAAAAAATCAAGAATGACACCCCATGCACATGTATTGGGGATACTGCGTGGTGCACGTGCATCCCATGCGTTGTGTATAGGGGTGGTGATACAGAGAAATGGTGGTGCGTTCATAAGATGTCCGTCTTTGAAGCGTTTGTTAACGCTTCTACCTCCTCTCCAAACTAAAAATCAAAACGACTGCATCACCGTCTGGCTTCGATGACAGCACGTGGAGCCTTACAGCCTATGTAAACAAATATCGCTACGCAAATTGAAATAGTGTTACACGTTTTAGGATATTTTCTCACTGAAGCTAAACCATTTTATCAAAGAAGTATAATTAAATGTGTAGACTCGTCAAAATAAAAGCGTTAAGGAATATATACAATGTATTGAATGGACTCTTCAAGTTGTGCCGAAACATCATATCTCTCTGGCCTGTGGAAGAGGTACTATGCTGGCCGCATGGAACATATCACACGTCTCTGCAGTTTGTTCGTTTCACACAAAGTTGTTTTACGGGCTGATTTCCAGTTAAATTTCAGAACCACTTCAAACAAGAACGATAACTCTATGCCTGTTCGCCACATGCGTCACCACTCGTCCCTTTCCGTAACCTCTATTCGGCTTGTCCCGGAATAGCACGAGTTGGTCACGAATGTACAGCGGTGGGTCGTGTTGCTATGGCAACATTGTTATAACACGAGCATCCACTAACTCCCCGCTGTCAGTTTGCAACGCCTTCACCTTTCGAGAAGCGGGGTTGATGCGGCGAACGTTCATGTCGCCGCGACAAGACATGTATATATGGTTCAAGTAATATATCATATCGAAGGAGGGACATTCAACAGTTACGATCTCAGCAGCCCTAATGTTACTAGCAGGCTTGGGCAATTTGAACAATTTCTTGTGTGAATTATAGTACAACGCATTGCCAATGGAATCAAGCGCCAGTCGAATCTCACTACCGGAAAGTATTCTGATCTTGTTTACAATGACACCTTCATAAGTTCCTACATATATACAATGAGGCATGCTGATGATAAAAATCTCTCTGACCGGATCTATCGATAGGTCCCATTGGTTAATTTTTTTGACGTTGTGGATAATGGTCTGTGAGCTTCCATCTGAGTGCATCTTCATCACCCTTACAGATGACGTGACGAAATCCTTCATACTTCCCTTTTTCAAACAAATTACAAATATATAATCATTGATATCATCCATATCGATACTGTACGAAATGAAACCAAGATCGAGGACTTTTTCTTCTTTGCTGGTCAGGTTGATCAAAGAAATGTTTCCACACAGCTGGGATATAATGATAGAATTTAGACTGGAACTGTACACGATGTCTGTAATCTCTACTCCTTTTCGTTCCCAGAAGGTCCAAGTCTCCACAACATTGGTTTTAAGGTTTAACCGATGGAATTGGGATCTGTGCTTTTCACTGTAAGGAGCTATCAGTAGGTAAGTTCTTCCTTCAGCGATCTCTGGGTCTGAACCACCAATATCTGCAATGTGAGTGAGTGAGAGAGTTTGGTTTTAAGCCGCTTTTAGCAATATTCCAGCAATATCACGGCGGGGGACACCAGAAATGGGCTTCACACATAGTACCCATGTGGGGAATCGAACCCGGGTCTTAAGCGTGACGAGCAAACGCTTTAACCACTAGGCTACCCCACCGCCCCCCATCTGCAATGTGAAATGATACGGCTGAGAAGGAAATGGGCATGAATAGAATATGAACTCAGAAAAATGGGAAAAAATATACTGGACTAAAGTAGTAACGGAAATAGAAATAAAATGGGTTTTTTTGTGTATTACTTCATTAAAATAGTTAGTTTAAAAAAATATCAAAATAACTATGTTTTAGACCTTATAATTTGGTCCTCTAATCATCATCCAAAATACCAGTTTATCGGTAAAAATAACAAAAACTTGTATATTATCAACAAATTTCGAAACATGTTATAACCTACGTCACAATAAACAACGGGTGGTAATAACTGCCTGCAGCATTGTTTAGACGGGAAGATGCATTTGCACGTTCGTTGCCATAGCTATTGTGCAACTGACAATCAAAGCTTTGAATGAACTCTTGAAAATAGTAAACTTCCAACAAGAGTACAGGCATGAAAAATGTACTGAGAAAATCCCTAAATCAATTATTTTGCATATCAGTTAGGATAGAAGAAATAGAGGATGAATGGAATATGACGTTTTTCATAACATATAGGTACGCGAACCTATGGAGAGCACATGTCATTTGCATACTATAGCTTGCATCAGAAAAGTACATTTTGACTTTGATGAAATTCCAAAGGGTAAAAATGACACGATTTCCTCTCCAGTCAACTCATCTATAATCACCAGCATGTTTTAGCTTTTGTTAATATTGGTGCTCGTACTTAGCTTTACCTCGGCCACATTGTCCCTGCTTTTATTGAGGAATTTCTCCTATCGTCAGTTGATTTTGTCATAAACAGAATGCTCTTCATATGACACGACCTCTGAAGATCCGGGTTAGAACGGATCTTCAGTAACCCATGCTTGTCGTAAGAGGCGACTAACGTGATCGGTTGGTCAGGCTCGCTGACTTGGTTGACACAGGTCATCGTATCCCATTTGTGTAGATCGAAGCTTGTGCTGTTGATCACTGGATTGTCTGGCCAAGGCTCAATTATTTACATACCACCGCCATATAGTGGAATACTGCCGAGTGCGGCGTAAAACTAAACTCACTCACCCCCTCTTCATATAAATCTAATCACTGGATTGTCTGGTCCAGACTCGATTATTTACAGACCGCCACCATATAGCTGGACTATTACTGAGGGGGCGTAAAACAAAACGCACTCACTCACTCACTCATATAACACGAAATAACAATGGAAGTGAGACATGGTGTTGTTTTATGTCGCACTCAGCAATAAATCAGCTGTATGGCGGCGGTCTGTAAATAATCAAGACCAGACAATCAATCTACGCAATTGGGATACGATGACATGTGTCAGCGAGCCTGACCACCCGATCCCGTTAGTCGAGTTGCTGAAGCATGGGTTACTGACGACCAATCCTAACCTAGATCTCCACGGGCCTGAGACGTGATGCAAGGTACGTGTTCTTGAACTTACATCTCACACACTGGTCACCTTTGTTTCTGGTCCGAACGAGCCGAAAATACGCAGGGCATCCTTTGCCCGGGTCCCGGTGGCACTGACAATACAATGTAGAGCATGTGTTACAAACATGAATGATGAATAATATTACCAGAGTCGGTGTATAATAATACCAGAGTCGGTGTATAATATTACCAGAGTCGGTGTATAATATTACCAGAGTCGGTGTATAATATTACCAGAGTCGGTCATTGTCCCAATGCAGTTTCAGTGACTTGCCATTGATGCGTGGATTTTCGGCCATCCTGTCGCTTTCGCACACTCAAGTAGTGTGGTTTCAAGATGGTTTGACCAAGATATTCTTGGTCGGGTTCTGTGCCTTCCCCAGGGGCAAGTCCCATCTCCAGTAAGGTTGGTTTGACTACCGGAGGAAGGCTGACTGGGCTGCGGAGTTGAAAGATGGTATTCATCTTGGCTAGAGCTGTGTCTTAACTTAAGATTGTCAGGGAACCCCATGTCTAAACGGCAAAAGTCAATTTCGAGAAACTTAAGGCAAAATTAAGAAAAAGAAAACTTTAAATTACAGTATAAGACAACAAAAGAAAAGATGCTTCTCCAAATTGTCGATTCCCTTAAGGCAAAATTAAGATTTGGACTGAAAGAAAAACAAATTGGAAAATAAAAATAAATTCATCAAACAGAAAAAACTCTTTAGAAATAATGAAAAGATGGCATTCGAAACCGGTATTGGAAACTGTTTCCCTGTGTCCAAACACCATTACTACACTGATTCAATACTCTCGTGGACAGGGGGCGGTGGGGTACCCTAGTGGTTAAAGCGTTCGCTCGTCACGCTGAACACCCGGGTTCGATTCCCCACACAATGTGTGAAGCCCATTTCTGGTGTCCCCCGCCGTGATATTGCTGGAATACTGCTAAAAGCGGCGTAAAACTAAACTTACTCACACTCTTGTGGACACATGTGATATTCATCCATGGTTCTGCAAAGGTCGCACAATACTCCTTCCCCAAAAAGGAGACTTGACTGGTCCCCAAAACTTCCGCCCAAACACATGTTTGAATACTCGATATAAAATATTCACAGGGTGTTTGGCAAACCTCGTGTCATCTTACTGCTCTTCTAATGACATACTTTCTAGAGAGCAAAAGGGGGCAAGAAATGGATTTTGGGGGTGCAAGGAAACACTTATCTTGGAATGCAAGTTCGAGACAAAATCCAGAATGCCCAGATTCAAGACAAACTCCACTTTAATATAATATATTAATTTCACTTTCAGATAATATGGAGCTCCGAGGTAAATGCTCAAAACAAGGTGAAAGTCACAGTGCTGTGTCTGTTCTTTCCTATTCCTTTGGAGTAGTTGATTGGACAAGACAAGACATCCAGAGTCTTGTCCGCCTGACCAGAAGGAATATGTCTGCTAACAGAGCCTACCACCATCGGCCCTCTCTTAATCGTTTATATACTCTCCCAAAAAGGAAACGCATCATGAAAATAGCGATATATATATATATATATGCGAATCAATTTGGGAGATCGGGGTTTGATTAATGTGGAGGCTCTTCATGATAGAAGTTTAGTGTGTACTTTTGCAACTATTTATTTATCGGATGATCCTCTGGTGATGCATGTGAAGACTCATGATAAAAGCAAAGAATTCCAAAGCAATTATAAGCGTGCCAAGGTTGTTGGACAGAATCTGATACTTGAGGTTGATTTTGCTGATGGCGATGTACAGCTGGATGGTACAGCGATGGGAGTAAACCAGGTGAAGTCCTTCACCAAGTCTGCTCAGGGTCGGTCATTTGTGGAGAAGCTTTCTGAGA